AAACCGAACAAAAAAAAAATCAAATCGTTGGATCTCAACGTCAAAACTTTCAACGACCTAGATTTAGCGAGCTGCCAGCGAGCCCAGGGCCATACCGTACCAGGCCTACGAAAAAATAAAAAAATGGCCAGCCATCTCCTGCACCGGTTCCGGGTCGATTCGGGTGGAACCGGCGGGCTGGACCGGTCCGTGGCCCTCACTAATTGTCATGACAATTAAGTAAAGTTAGACTAGTTAAATGTTAAAGTGGAGCAGCGCATTTTCCATGGTAAGATTTTGGATGCACGATAGATAAATTTAGGCGATATAGAGACACGTAATCCACGTAAAAAAATATATATAAATTACAACAGAGCGAGAATTTTGGGAGAGATTTCACGACAGGAATATCGACTAAATCCAATATATGTAGTTCGCGAATTGGTCATTATTTTTCTTTTTACCGCACTACGTAGCGTAGGCCGTAGTAGGTGGACACATCTCTGATGAACGTTATCGTCGCCGGTTGCACCTCAATCTTTTCGGTAGGTAAATCCTACGTGGATAATCCCACACATATAAAAATAATAAATAAAAAAGGTCCAAATCCATTTACCTAATCCACCCGGGCCCCACCACCCCCTTCCCACCAACCACACCCAAGAAAATTGTAATAGTGCGCTCATAAATTCCCAAATTTACCCCTGAACAACTCATAATCCCCATCAACTCCCTTTCCCCCTTCCCCCACTCACCAACCCTCACCAACTATTTTTTTCTCCATATTTATACTCCAAACCCGTGGCACTTCATTTCCAGGACCCGAAATCCTGAAACACCGACCCGAAAAGAAATAAAAAAAAAAAAAGCAGAAGAATCTCGAAAATGGAGCCTACGACAAAATCGAAGGACATTATCTTCCGATCGAAGCTCCCGGACATCTACATCCCGAAGCACCTCCCACTCCACACCTACTGCTTCGAGAACATCTCCCGGTTCGGGTCCCGACCCTGCCTCATCAACGGCTCCACCGGCGAGATCCTCACCTACGATCAGGTCGAGCTGGCTTCCCGTCGGGTCGGGTCGGGTCTCCACAGGCTCGGCATCCGGCAGGGGGACACCATCATGCTCCTCCTCCCCAACTCCACGGAGTTCGTCCTTGCCTTCCTCGGCGCCTCCCAAATCGGCGCCGTCTCCACCATGGCCAACCCCTACTTCACCCCGGCCGAGGTCGTCAAGCAGGCCGGGGCCTCCCGGGCGAGGCTCATCATCACCCAGGCCTGCCACGTGGACAAGGTGCGTGACTACGCGGCGGAGCACGGGGTGAAGGTGGTGTGCGTAGACGGCGGCGGTGCCCTGCCGGAGGGGTGCCTGGCGTTCTCGGAGGTGGCATCGGGGGAGGAGGCGGAGCTGCCGGCGGTGAAGATCTCCCCGGACGACGTGGTGGCGCTTCCGTACTCGTCGGGGACGACGGGGCTGCCGAAGGGGGTGATGCTGACGCACAAGGGGCTGGTGACGAGCGTGGCGCAGCAGGTAGACGGGGAGAACCCGAACCTGTACATACACAGCGATGATGTCATCATGTGTGTGCTCCCACTGTTCCACATCTACTCGCTGAACTCGATCATGCTGTGCGGGCTGCGGGTTGGGGCGGCCATCCTGATAATGCAGAAGTTCGAGATTGTGCCCTTCCTGGAGCTGATACAGAGGTACCGGGTGACGATCGGCCCGTTTGTACCGCCTATTGTGCTGGCGATAGAGAAGAGCCCCGTTGTGGAGAAGTACGATTTGTCGTCTGTGAGGACAGTCATGTCCGGGGCGGCGCCGCTCGGGAAGGAGCTGGAGGACGCCGTCAGGTTGAAGTTCCCCAATGCCAAACTTGGCCAGGTAATTCATTTACTATGATTGATTATTTTGAATTTATTTCATTTCCTTATGCGGATTGAATTGAATTTGAATTATCGTGGTTTTTATTTGGCAGTTTATTTAGTATGGGTAGGAATTCATTTAGAAATGTTGATTTTCAAAGGTGGGAAAATAATTAAGGGAAATGTTACATGATGATTTACCCGTTATAAATCCCGACGAATTGATTCCGTAATCCTAATAATATAACTAGCTTACTTATCCGTAGAATCATGGTATGACTAAATTAAATTATTTAATATAAATTTGATGTAATTTTATTTTTTATTTTAACTAATTATGCTTAAATATATCATTTTAATTTTTATAAAGTGTAGTATTCTCAATTGTAGAATTTAATAATTTATATTATTTACATTAATATAATTATAGATAGTGGTTTAGTAAAATTTTGGTGTTAATTAATAATAAATACAATAATATTATTATTTTTTGTTGGTGTATGTGTGAACTCGTGGGAGAGTAACTTATATATACGGTGGAGACCAAGTCTAAACGAGCATAGATAAATTTGGGGAATCATTCCACTACGATTCCAATTACTAAAGTTGACTTTTTATTATGAAATCACTAATACAACCTAGTGAACATGTATTATTATCATCTAAAGTATTTAATTTATACCAACAAGTTGGGAGACTCACCCATCATTACCAGGTGTGCGACCCGAGTCATCTAACAGATAGTCGGGGCAAAACTCCGGATATCGTGGTTGGCTACAAAAAAAAAGTATTTAATTTATCTTTTCACGACTTAAGCACATGAATTATGAGTCCTATTGTCACGTATTGTTCGCATAATATGGAACCAAACGTCACGCCTCAAAATTTCAAAATAACGAATTTTATTAACTCTCAATTGTGGAATTTAATATTTGTTAATATTTGTGTACATTAATAAATATTGGTTTAATATAAATGTTGGTTTAATTTATCGTTGAATACTTTGCAATATACTTATTATATGCCTCTCAATTTTATTTATTTATTTTTTCTAAATATTTATCGATGTAGGGGTACGGAATGACTGAAGCCGGGCCGGTGCTGGCGATGTGCTTAGCATTTGCAAAAGAGCCATTTGAGATAAAATCAGGTGCTTGCGGGACTGTGGTTAGAAATGCTGAGATGAAAATTGTGGACACCGAAACTGGCGCTTCTCTTGGGCGTAATCAGCCCGGTGAAATTTGCATTAGAGGTGACCAGATCATGAAAGGTATATTTCGTCAACGTGAGATTCTACGGTCCCGTTACGTGATCATTCTGTCGGGATTCGTAACCGTTAGATCAACCATCAATGACGGTTACATGATGATATAACGATTACAAATCTCGACGGAATAGTTCCGGCAACGTGATTGTAGCATTTTTCTTTGTCAACACCTACTTTGTCTATACTCTATAACTCTATATTTTGAATTTTATTCAAATTTAGACAACAATCAATACCTTGTACGACGCATGACATTTCAGGTAAACCTAATTACCACCGGTGATTGCGTATTCTTTTAATCCATTTGTAAATAGAAAGCAAAGTCATTGAAAAGAAAAAAGGGAGGTCCGACTAAACGTAGGTCACGAGACAAAGTTAATCAAGATTAGGATAAGATGATATATTAGTCCTACTAATTACATTGAAAAATTTTGATCATCATCAATGTTCTACAAAAACTAAAATGGAAAATAAATTGACGTTCGAAATTGGTTGCAGGCTATTTGAACGATCCGGAGTCTACTGAAAGGACAATAGACAAAGAAGGATGGCTACACACCGGCGACATAGGGTTCATCGATGACGATGATGAGTTGTTCATCGTCGATAGGTTGAAAGAAATAATCAAGTACAAAGGGTTTCAAGTTGCACCCGCTGAACTGGAAGCCCTCCTCCTCAACCACCCTAATATCTCTGATGCTGCTGTTATCTCGTAAGTTTGAAAAAAAAAGTATAAATTAGTAGTGAAATAAAAAATAAACTACCCTTAGTTTATAATTAAAAAAAAAAAAATTTATCTAGTTTGAAAGTAACATGTCATGTTTAGTATGATAGACAATGAAAAGCTATATTTACTATAAAAATAACATGTCATGTTTATTATGATAGTCAATGAGAAACTACAATTTGGTCTCTTCCAAAAGTATGGCATGTAATTTGTTAAGTTGTTTTAAGCCAAATTTTATGGTATTCAAAGTGCTTAATTATTTAAAATGGTCATTAAGGCACCCAGACCATTGTGGGTGAAAAAAAA